CCAAGGGACAGGACAAGAGGAAATGGGCTCCAGTTGTGGCCAGGGCAGTTGAGATGGGATGTGAGGAAGAATTTCTTTGCTGCAAGGGTTCTGAGGCATTGGAAGGGGTTGCCCAGGGCAGTGGTGGAGTCCCCATCCCTGGAGGGATTGAAGAGTCGTGTAGACACAGTGCTGAGGGACATGGGTTAGCGGCCATGGTGGTGTTGGGTTGATGGTTGGACTTGATGATCTCAAAGGTCTTTTCCAACATTAATGATTATGATTCACTCTCAGTGATGACTTTGTAGTTGTGCAAAGGACGTTTTTGCTGGTGTCCCTGTCCCCCCTGGGTGGGCTGAGTTAACTGCTGGGCTATTGACCCCCTTGGTGTTAGCAGGAGGGATGAGCTGAGCCTGATACAGACCTCACCAATTGCCCTTGTCCTGCTCTCTGGACTTGCCCTCTCCATGTGCCAACCCCTGTGTTTTGCTCACAGATGGTTTTGGGAGGGGGACAGCTGTTCCAGTCTCAGCAGGACCTGCTGCACCGCACCTCTCCCCTGCTGCTGTCCTACTACCTGATCAGGTGGGCAAGCCAGTGCCTGGCGTCGGACGTCCCTGTGGACACACTGTAAGTCTCTCCCATACCCGTTCTGTCTGTGAATGATTGTAGGTTCCTGCTAAATCCACCTGAAATGCCCTTCCTGGTATGAAAAGCTGGTGGTTGCTGTGGGAGTGTTATTTGAGGAGTCAGGTTGTGCAGGGGAAGAGGGTTTTTTTTTTCCCTGCCATGTTTTGAGCTGACTCTTTGCCTTGTGCTAATTCTGCCGTGCGAGGCTGCTCTGTGCACAGTCGCCTTGTTCAGCAGTAGGAGTCATTTGAGTCGAACAATGAGCGCAATTAAAGCAGGAGGCGTGTTGTTGTCTCTTCACTGATGGCTTTTTTCTTCTCCAGGGAATCTAATCTGCAGCATCTCTCTGTGTTGGAGTTAGCAGACACCACTGCTCTAACACCCCATAAACTAGGTGAGATGTCCACAGTTCATCAGCTCTCTGTTATTTATACCTCTTGCCCTCTGTGTCTCTGCCACCCGAGGGAAATCCTCTTCACACAGTTTGCTAAGGGACTGCGTGGCTGAATGACCCTGCTTTATGTGGAGGTGTTTGTCATGCTGTCCACCAAAAACCAGTAACAAAACCAAAGTATCTTGTGATATTGGACTCAAACCAGAGACATGGATCTTTTTCTCAACCTGAGAAGGATGGGACAGCTTCACCCAGCCCAACATTATTAACTCTGGCCCCTGCAGCATCAGCCAAGCTCACCTCTCGCTCCTCCCAGCACCTGTAGTGGGTCAGACCAGGTCTGTCCTGCTCATTAACCTTTATCCCACAGCGAGCAGGAGCAGCAGCTCAGGGATTCAAGAGAATGTAGAAATACTTCCCCAAAACATGCTTGTGCTTCC